CGATGCAAGAGTGTGTGTCCGAGGATCAAAATGGGTGTGAGTACCTGTATTTAAAACATGGAGGGGGTGGGTGGCAAGAAAAGCCTCTAACTGAATGCCATGGGAATCACAGTGAGACCCCCCCCCCCCCCGAGGATATGATGGGCATCAAAATCGCCAAGTAACAGAATCGGTGGTGGTAATGACGAAACAAGAAAGGCAATATCCGGAATAGACAATGCCCGAGAAGGAGAGAGATATAAAGAACGGAGCGTATACCACCTATGCAAGTGGATACAGGCTGCTGTGTAATGCAGCGAAGTAAGAACAAATAGCTGATGGTACGGAACATCAGTGCGTAGAAGGGCACTTTCATTAAAGGTCCCATCAGGAAAAGGATCTGAAGAATACAATAAATTATAGCCTGAGATGGGAGAGAACAGAAGAATGTAATTTTGGTTCCTGTAAGCAAACAACAACAGGGGAAAACTGGGAGAGTAACATCTGAAGCTCACCCCGATTACTCCTGAGGCCGCGTATATTCCACTGTAAATAGGCCATGATTGGCAATGAAGAAGATACTTGAAATCCGCAGGTAAGGGTTCCTACGGACTAGAGGGGTTAGAAAAGTCCACATGCGGAGGCAGCAGAAAACGTTCAAGCAGCGAAGGAACGGTGCGCTGTGAAGAAAGGAGTTGAGCAGATGGAGGAGAGGAGAGAGAAGGAACAGAGGGTGGATCAGTGTCCATTGATGGTTTGGTCTCTGGGGGAGAGGGCGAAAGGGTGGAGGGAACTGGAGAAGAAGCGTGGAAGGGGGCAGAAGAGGCAGAAACTTGGGAGGGAACAGGGGAGGTAGGTATAGTACGAGGAGGAGGGTGAACCTCGACACTTGTAACAGAGCCAGTGAGAGGGGAAGAACCCGGTATGGAGACAGGGAAGGTAAAATGAGGAGGTGGAAGAAGGGAAGGAGGGGTTAAAGGACCTTTTTTTGACTTCTGAGAAGTAGAGGGACGATTGGGAGGAGGTGTCGTACGAGGTCTTGTCGATACTGAGGCTTGTGAGGGAGAACACGAAGAAGCGAGAACAGACTGAGGCGTTGAAGTAGGGACGTCCGAGTCTAGGACAGCAAAAGAATTAGATACAGGAGTGACTATGGGAGAGGTAACCACAGAGGAGGTTGCAGAAGATGGGACCCCAGAAGTGGGGGGACGTTTTGAAACATGGGAATAAGAAACACGAGGTAGTCTCCCTTGGAGGCGGAGATGAGAAACTGCCATAGCATAAGGGAGACCTTCTGCCCCTTTGAGGTAACAGATTTCCCGCTCATTTAAGTAGACTTGGCAACGGCGAGAGTATGAAGAGCGAGGCTCATGACAATTAAGGCAAGAGGGAGGTTGATTGCAAGACGTATTAGAATGGTCATCGGCACCACAGACTGGGCATTCGGCTATGGATCTGCAATATTTCGCTGGATGGCCAAATCGCCAGCAATTTCTACGCTGTTGCAGTGTAGGGATCACCTTTCGAACTTGTAACCGATGTCCTGCTACATAAGCTGAGGATGGGAGTTCACGGCTGTCAAAAGTTAAACGAGCCACATTGCTAGGGTATCATCTCTGCCCGCGGGCAGGAAGAACATAAGTGTCTACCTTGAGGATTGGGAGATCTTGGAGTTCCAGCTGTTCAAGAATGTCATTGCCACATGTCTGGAAATTTTGTTGAACTATGGTATGGGGCAGAATGACGGTACCACTACAAGAATTGAGGGAATGATGTTTTTCAATAGTGACAGGAACAGTATCTATATGGGAAAGAAGAGAAAGATCATGAGTTTAGGTAGCATTCTGTACCGTGATGATGCGCGTACCGCTCTTAAGAGCATGAAAAGAAATATCTTTACCAACATGGCGTAGGAGTGCCTTGCCAATACTGTGGTCGTAAAGATAGGTGGAAGAGGAAGTCGGTCGTAAAGTGAAGAATTTAGTCCATTGTGCAGTCTGAAACCGAGTGTGGAAAGGGAGTGCAGGACGTGTCGATCTTTTCTGAGAAGAACGAGAAGGTGGAGAAGTATCATCAGCAGGTAATTGTCGTTGGCATTTAGGAGTGGGACCAGAGTTGGTCCGATGTGGAACGGGCCGGAGATTCGAAAATTGCCGCACTGTAGAGGGAGAGGCCGGAAGCATAGTCAAAGGAGAGCGGAGGTCAGATAAATCAAAGAAGTCAGTCGAGACCTCAGTACCTGAAGCGGGTGAGAAAACATCACAGGCAAGAGGTACAGAGGCATGAGGAGTGTCCGAAGAGTGGTCCAAAGACGAGGCGGGGTCAGAATGGGGTGCGGTATCAAGAAGGGGCCCGGGGGTAGCAGGTTCATGGATTGGGTTCTCCATGATTAGGTTACTTCTTTCTTTTTGTTTTTAACCCTTTGAGGGTTTTCGTCGTACTAGTACGTCTTACGCGTAGGGGTTTTTGACGTACTAGTACTCATAAATTCTAGCGGCCTCAAATCTAGTGGGAGAAAGCTGGTAGGCCTTCATATGAAAGAATGGGTCTATGTGGTCAGTGTGCACAGTCTAAAAACATCCTGCAGCACACAGTGCATAATGAGAAAAAAAAAACTTTGACCATTTTTTTTTAATAAATCAGCGACTTTGCAGTGTATTTTCGTATGGTATTTATTGTTGTATTCTAGTTTTCTTGGTCTCATTTTATAGAATGGAAGACATATTACAGAAATTGAGATGATTTTGACTGGTTTTACAAAGAAAGGTGCCTTGAAATTGAGCTCAAAGTAGCAGAAATGTTCGATTTTTACCAAACTTCAAAAGTAAACAAATCGTGCCAAGCGTGCAATACACGTCAACTGGTGAGTCTAATATTCTTTCACAAGTGCACCAATAATATTTATACCATTTTTTACACTAATGCAGTAGTCTGCATAACAGTAAATCTTATATTTTTTGTGAGAATAAAAATTCAAAGTGGAAAGCAAAAGAATATAAGAGGGGCCTTGAGACGTGACTAATGACTAGAGGAAATGTCATTTTAGTGCCAGGAATGTCTTTCTTGTTTATTCTGGACCCTATTCGGAAATTGGCATCTTTTGAAATTTGTGTGAAATTGGCAAAATTGCTAAATTCTGACCACTGTACTGGATAGTTGAATTTATAAATGGGTGGTTTCTTGCACCCATTTGATAGAAAAAATGGAGTTCTAGCGAAATATTCATGTTTTTTGTCGACTAGTACAGTGAAATTGGCCGAAAATGGGGATCAAAGTAGGCAAAATCGCCGATACGTAAACATCGCCGAGACCGCTAACTTTGCGAGAGCATAATTCCGTAAGTTTTCTATCAAATTTCAAACTTTTGGTGTCTTTATGATCAGGAAAAGATTCTCTATCTTTTCATAAGAGAAAATAATTTTTTTTTTTTTTAAATTTGGCCGACCCTGAGAACGAGTTTCGGAGAGAGCCTGTCGACCCTCAAAGGGTTAAGAAAAAAAAAAGAAAATAAAAATAAAAAAAAAAAATAAAAAAAAGGGGGGACCGGGGAGGAATAGTTCCTAGGAGGAATGAAAGGGCCGGAAATCTCCCTCCACGCCCAAGAGGACCTCAGCACAGCAAGTAGCGTAGATGCAGCATGGAACCCGTGCCATACCCTACCCATCATGCCAGTAAACCAGCAATCCGGGATAGCAACCTCGCATCTGCTGAGCTACCTCGGTGGACAAAAGAGAGGGCGGCCGGATATCCACCACAAAGCATACCTCCTTCGGCCACCACCCCCAGAATCCGAAAGGTGGCTTCCAGAGATACACCCGTTGCCCGAAAGACTCTTATGCTGTAATGGTTCAGTTTGAGGTGCAAGAGATTGTGGTCAACTGTGTCAAACACTTTTCTTAGGTCGATAAAGAGCCCCAGGGAATACTCATTTTTATCGAGAGCTGTGTATATTAGGTCAAGCATTAGTATAATAGCATCATTCGTGCTTTTTTTTGGTTTAAATCCAAACTGGCATGGGTTAAGTATGTCGTTGGATGTAAGGTAGAAGTAAAGTCGCTTGTGTATTATTTTTTCAAAGATCTTGGAGAATAAGGGGAAGTTTGATATGGGTCTGTAATTGTTCAAATCAGTTGGATCTCCACCTTAGTGGATCGGGGTGACCCTTGCTGTCTTAGAGTATGGATGGGAAGGTTGAGGATGCTATAGATTTATTAAACATTGTTGCAATAATGGGCAACAGTTCTGGTGCAGCTTTTTTATATATGAATAGCGGCAAGTTGTCTAGATCACCTGATTTGTTTTTTAATGATTTAATGATGAATGAGACCTCAGTGAGATTAGTTGGAGCTAGAAATAGAGTATTTGGATAGTTGCCAGTGAGGTACTCACTCGGATGGGTATTTGAGCTAGGAATTTGACTCGCTAACTTTGATCCTACAGTAGAGAAGACATTAAATTTATTGGACATGTCTGTAGCTTGCATGTGAAGTTCATGTGGTTTAGTTAAGTCTATCTCTCTATTTCCAGTTGGTTTCCTTGAGCCCAAAATTTTGGAGAGGGTTTGTCAGGTACTTTTCATGTCACCTTTCATTTCACTAAATCTATTTTCATAATACATTTGCTTTGATTTACATATTAGTTTTGTGAGTATTCATTAGGATCAGGTTGCCTGAAATCCACTGCATGAAAAACTACTATGTCTTTGTACTGCATAAAAATAAATATAAAATTTGAATTGGAATAAAGAACCACTGTAATAAAAGCCATAAAGCAGCTTCATCTGAGAATAACACCATAAATTAATCTGTATGGCAAAAAAATATTAATTTCTAAGTTGTAAGTATTACTGTACACAAAATTTCTTTTGTAATGAAGTTATTACACTCATCTTGACATTGGAATGTTGAGCATGAATGTGCTTTACCTTCAACACCAGTTGGCATAAACTTAAAATTTTCTGTCTATAGATCTAACTGAAGACAAGAATTCACTAAAATTTCTTTCACTGGAGTTAACCTTACCAGTCAGTCCTTTAACAGGTAACAGGTTGTTTATCTTGATTGCAGAGCCTGAATTTATAAGATAGTCTTCATAATTCTCTTCATCAGCAGTGACTTGAGAAGCTATATAAGCAAGACTTCTATCACACTGCCTTTCAAGCACACACTGGTTAACTCTTCTTAGAAAATTCTTTGAACTTTTATTTACCTCCACTGGCCAAACTCTACCAAATCTGAAAATATAAAGAATAAAGATTTTATTTCTTTGTAAAGGTTACAAAGTGTAATTACAATTTTGGCTTACTAAGTACAAAGACGGCCACTATCATGCCGGGGCATTTCAGGCAGACTAATCCTATTACATAACTACTTAAATCTAGACAAGATAAGAGTGGTTAACTTTCATTAAAATCTTTATTTAATTTTAATACTAATGCGAGGTAGTAAAGGTGGAGATTTACAAGAATAATAATCTTGAAGTTGCACATAAAAAAAAAAATATTACAATTAATGGTTCAGGCAGTAATATTTCATGGATTGGCAGATGTTTAATAGAGTAGAGGTCATATAATATAATAAATGATTAGAAGTTATTTTGGTTGGTTTGGTTAGTATTGAGAGATGATTTTTAAGCAAAGTTCTAAATTTGTTAGGTAAGACACATATGCAACAGTTAGGTATCTTTATTTCGAAACGTATTTCAACGTTTCGAAATAAAGATACCTAACTGTTGCATATGTGTCTTACCTAACAACCTGTCGGTATTTTATACCATTTTATTATTCAAAGTTCTAAATTTATAAGTAGTCAGGGGATCCTTTACCAGTTCAGGAAGTGAATTCCAGATCTTAAGGCCTTTTATGTGCATTGCATTTTTGCACAGTGTGACTGAGACAAGGGATGTCGAAGGGTGCTTTGTGCATTGTATTGTGACTGCACTCTGTTGTAGCTATCAAAGAGAAGTTTTAGTGGAGGGTTCAATACTGGGGTTTGATGTTCTGCATATGTAGTAGGCACAATAATATGAGTGCATGTCTCGTATATTTATTAGGTTCAGGCTTTTTGAAAAGTGGTAGGGTGTGTTGTCTAGAACAAGAGCTGGTAATCATCCACATTGCAGCTTTTTGTTGGGTTATTAAATAATAATAACTATTTTGACATGATACATGGCTGTAAGATAAGATAAGATAAGATTTTGTTCGGATTTTTAACCCAGGAGGGTTAGCCACCCAGGATAACCCAAGAAAGTCAGTGCATCATCGAGGACTGTCTAACTTATTTCCATTGGGGTCCTTAATCTTGTCCCCCAGGATGCGACCCACACCAGTCGACTAACACCCAGGTACCTATTTGCTGCTAGGTGAACAGGACAACAGGTGTAAGGAAACATGTTGAAATGTTTCCACCCGCCGGGAATCGAACCCGGGCCCTCTGTGTGTGAAGCAGGAGCCTTAGCCACCAGGCCACCAAGCCAAAGGAATATAATAGTTGGGTGTACATGCAAAAAGCCTGGAATGGCAGTGAGGGGAAATATTCTCCAGTAAAGCAGCAGTATGTACAATGTGGCATGTGTTCTGGTAGAGTGCCACATGCTATTCCAAGGTAAACTAGTAAATCTCAGAGTACATCCCGTGGCCCTACAGCACGACCTGAGTGTGAACATTACGATGATATTGTTACAACAGGGATACGTAATGTGCGTGGGGCAGCAGGCAGTGGTGGTGGTGGTGGTTGGCGGTGGCATGAGGCACCAGCAGTGAACCACTCTGCTACCCACGCTGCTAACTCAGCACAGCCACAACCAGCCTTAACCACCCCCATGCTCCCAAAACCTCCACAACCACAACTTCCACAAAGACAACCACCTTTCAATATCCAGTACCCACCAGCAGACTGCATCTTGGATTGGCAGGAAGGTGCCAATTTTGTTCCCAACCCCATGACTTTGATGAAACACAAAGTGGAATACGGCCATCGTGTACACTGGGGAACAATGCCACTGAACTGCAATGCTTTATATTTATTTATTTATGTCTTTGCAAATAGTACATTGAGATTTTGTATTTACAATAGTGGGTTGCAATGCAAAGAGAGCCTCTATTATGCCTAGGCATTATGGGCCTACTTAACATTATTGGCTTACAGACTACTTTACACTAAAGATCATATCGTAGTTGCACAGTAGGATAGTAATTATTTCATACTTGTACAGTAGATTATTAATTATAAGTGAACCTAATTTGTATAAGACAAAGAGATACATTCATATACAGTGGTTCCTCGCTTTTCGTAGTTCTCGGGAATCATAGATTTCGGAAATCATAGGGATATTTTCGTATAAACATGGGCTCGCTAATCATAGGTTGACTTGCGAATAGTAGTTCATCCTTGACACGTACGAACGGTGTGAGCCAGGGCAGCCTCCCTACCCAGCCAGCCTGGCATTGTTTACCAGTGAGCGAAGGTCCCCTCACGTGCTCCTACAAAATATTTCATAATATTCCACTCGTTTTAATGCTTGCAAGTACTAAATAAGCTACCATGACTCCAAAGAAAGCTCCTAGTGCCAAGCCTGTGGTAAAGAAGGTGAGAAATACAATTGAATTTAAGAACAGCATCAGATCGCAGCTCAGAATCTTGCTGCAGAGGAGGAGGAAGAGAGATGGAAGAAGGTGCCTTCTTTAGAAATTAAAGAGATTTTTGCTATGTTAGGTAAGATGGAAAGCTTTATGGAGAAACATCACCCTGACAAGGTTGTTGCAAGCCATGTTGGCAACATGTACAGTGACAAAGTCTTGGGCCATTTTAGGGAAGTGTTAAAGAGACGCCAGTTATTTTACGAGACAGGACTCCAGTGACTCTCAAGGTGGTCCTAGTGGCATTAAGAAACAGAGAAGAGAAGCAACCCCAGAAAAGCAATTGGTACCTGAGGTGTTGATGGAAGGGGATTCCCCTTCCAAACTGTAAACAATCCAATCTCTCTCCTCCTCCAGTCCCCCATACACTAAGAAGAATCTCCATTAAAGGTATGTGTTATGCTGTTAATGTTTCATTCATCATTTCCCATTGTATTGTTTATGTACTACATCTATATTTCACGTAAAAAAATTTTTTTGTTTTAATACTTCTGGGTGTCAGGAACGGATTAATTGTATTTACATTATTTCTTATGGGGAAAATTGATTCGCAAATCGTAGATTTCGATAATAGTAGCAACTCCAGGAACGGATTAACTACGTAAAACGAGGGACCACCATATTCAAAAATGCTTTTTGTGAAAACAATGATTCAATTATATCCCTGTCAAAAATGGATAAAAGGTTCATAGCGATTGTTGAAGTTATGTGGGAGTACGTAAGTGAATGTGTGTGTACTGAGTATTTAGCATTTACTCTAGGGTGATGAAGTGGCTTTTGAGAAGAGTCTTAAATTGATTTTCAGACCGGGTTACTTTAATATATTCTGGTAATGAATTCCATATTTTGCCTGGAGTTTACCTGGAGAAAGTTCTGGTTGTTACTGCTGGCTGCACGCAATCCAACATACGAGCAACAGCCCGGCTGGTCAGGTACCGACTTTAGGTGCTTGTCCAGTGCCTGCTTGAAGACAGCCAGGGGTCTATTGGTAATCCCCCTTATGTATGCTGGAAGGCAGGTGAACAGTCTTGGGCCCCTGACACTTATTGTATTGTCTCTTAACATGCTAGTGACACCCATGCTTTTCATTGGGGGATGTTGCATCGTCTGCCGAGTCTTTTGCTTTTGCTGTGAGTGATTTTCATGTGCAAGTTCGGTATTAGTCCCTCTAGGATTTTCCAGGTGTATATAATCATGTACCTCTCCCACCTGTGTTCCAGGGAGTACAGGTTCAGGAACTTCAAGCGCTCCCAGTAATTGAGGTGTTTTATCTCCGTTATGCGTGCCGTGAAGGTTCTCTGTACATTTTCTAGGTCAGCTATTTCACCTGCCTTGAAAGGTGCTATTAGTGTGCAGCAATATTCCAGCCTAGATAGAACAAGCGACCTGAAGAGTGTCATCATGAGCTTGGCATCCATAGTTTTGAAGGTTCTCATTATCCATCCTTTATGTGCATAGTTTTTACACTGTGATATGGACATGAGGTACATCAAAAAGAGATCTGTGTCTTGTGTTATGGTCATGTGCCCTGTTAAGGTTGGCGAGAAGTTTGAGTGGAGGGTTTATATTTGCATGTATTGTTCTGTGTATGTAGTAGGCACATGAATAAGTATGGATGTTTTCAATGGTGAGCAGATTCAGACTTTTGAAAATTGGAGTATGCTGGCACGAGTGGGAATTTATCATTCTTACTGCTGCCTTTTGCTTTCAGTTATTCTTTGATGAACCCCTGATGGACATTATTGTCAGGCAAAGTAACACATACTTCAAATACACCATGGCACACACAATTGTTTCACCAAGATCATGGCCACACAAGTGAAAGGACACAACTGTAGCAGAGATGTATCTGTTCTTTGCATCAATAATGCACATGCCATGTATGTATAAGCACACTGTCACATCATACCGGTCGATGGAATGCCCCATTTCAACCCCAGGTTTCAGTGATATTATACCAGTGAACAGATTTCTGCTACTGTTATATATGCTACACCACTCAGACAAAACAACACCTGACAGAAAAGACAGGTTATATAAGATCAGGAATGTGTTTATGTACATGAAACCAAAGTGCTATATGTATTTTTATTTCTTCACAAAGCTTGTTATTGATAAGTCTTTGATTATGTTCAAAGGCAGACTGTCGTTCAAGCAGTATATACCAAGCAAGAGATAACACTTTGGTTATTTGTACTGTGTGATCGCAAAAGTGGTCTGGTTTTGGATATAACTGTGTACACTGGCAGTAATACACAGAGATACCATTAAGTTCTTGGGTATCTCTGGTGATGTGGTTAGAACACTGATGGAATCATATCTTGGTAAGGAGCATATATTATATACTGGTAACTGATACACAAGCCCCTTACTCACTGATTTCTTGCGAGTGAACATGACAGATGCGTGTGGCACAGTGCCTGGAAATCGTAAGCATATGCCTAGGTTCCACTCAGGAGGAAGTTCGGGTGAGATATAAGTGACTATTGGCAAAAAGGTGGGCTAGTGAAAAGATGAGTAGTAGGGAGGTTGAAGAGGGTTGGAATAGTTTTAAAAATGCAGTATTAGAATGTGGGGCAGAAGTTTGTGGCTATAGGAGGGTGGAGGCAGGAGGAAAGAGGAGTGATTGGTGGAATGATGAAGTAAAGGGTGTGAGAAAAGAGAAAAAAGTACCTTATGAGAGGTTTTTACAAAGCAGAAGTGTTATAAAAAGAGCAGAGTATATGAAGAGTAAAAGAAAGGTGAAGAGAGTGGTGAGTGTGTGCAAAAGGAGAGCAGATGATAGAGTGGGAAAGGCACTGTCAAGAAATTTTAATGAAAATAAGAAAATATTTTGGAGTGAGTTTAACCCTTTGACTGATCGCGGCCGTATAATATACGTTTATGAGGTACCGTGTTTGATGTATATATACTCAAATTCTAGCGGCTTCAAATCATGCAGGAGAAAGATGGTAGGCCCACATGTGAGAGAATGAGTCTGTGTGGTCAGTGTGCACCATATAAAAAAAAATCCTGGAGCACGCAGTGCATAATGAGAAAAAAAAACTGACCGTTTTTTTTAGATTAAAATGCCGACTTTGTGGTCTATTTTCGTATAGTATTTGTGGTTGCATTCTCGTTTTCTTGGTCTCATTTGATAGAATGGAAACTATATTATAGAAATAGAGGTGATTTTGATAAATTTTACTATAAAATAATTTTACTATAAAAGGGGATTTTCTTTCAAAAGATTACATCGGAAGTGTTGACACAAAAAAATACTCTAAAAGCAGCTATAGCCAGTCACACTGAGCAAATAACAACAATAAATATGAAGGCTGAAGAAGCAATCAAGGACTGGAATCAGAACATGCACACTCGACTAAATGAATACCTTGATTTTCCCAAAACGACAAAAAATGAACAAGATAAGTTGTTGATGCAGTAATAATAAACAGTCCACACATTCCTAGTGACATAACACAAGCACAGTGCAAAGAAAACTGCTATCAGGATAATACAGAACCACGTACAAGTCATCGTGCAAAACAAAGAAATCAAAGAAAACGTTTGTAGGAAAACCAGAAGTAACCAGTATTTGATCCGACTCATTCATAGACAAAAGAAAGGCCAAATTTAAAATCGCAATTACAATAAAAAAATGGAGTGTACAAAAATGGTGTCTAAAAAAAAAACGTAAAAAACCTTTGTTCAGGCTGAGAAAACTTAAACGGGAAAAAACAAAAACATCAGTGTTTCACGGAGTGGGAAAACTGAAAGGGAAAAAACATACAGGAAAACAAATACTATCTCAAATGACACGTTTCTCTCCCTTTCCCTTAAAAAAAGTGACTTTCTGTAACGATTAGTAAGTGCCTTAATACATATTGTGGGGCTTTAGTGTAGTTACTATTTTTGTACTTATTATTTTTTTATTTTTCACACTAGCTAATAAAAACCTCCAATATTTTAACTTCTTTCTTACTGAATTAATTGTCATAATTTTAAATTAAAGTAAACCCTTACTCCAAATTAATAAATTCATTTTCTTCCCTGTCCATTTAAATTTTTTGTTTATACTACTTGTTTTTTTAGTATTTTCTTGTGTTGAAAATTAGTGTTATTTCCAATTACTTTTTTGCAAGTACCAAAATATTTTTTGCTAGTACCAACTACCTCTTTTTTTTTTTTATTTTTTTGTGCATAAACTGCTCAATTTATTTATTTACAAATCAGATCTTACCCTAAACCAAATATTATTTCTAGTGACCCCTGTCCATTTAACTTTGTTTCCATTATTTTTTTTTGTCCCTTAAAATTTTTCTCCTTTTTTTTAGTTATTTAACTCCCTTTTGTTTATACATTCAAAATTTTTTAAAAAATAAAGGTGCTATTTCAGGTGCTAAAGTAGAATAAGTTCACAATTTTCCCTTTATTTTCCAAACATTTATTTGATTACCCTTTATTGTTCCCTAAACTTACTTTAGCCCCTTTTTATATTATTTTTTTATAAAATTTTAAACTTTAAGAATTACCTTTATAGTACTCCCCTACTTCATATTCCCAAAACTCATTATTTGTTACCTTTATTTGTTTTAGCCCCTTTTTTATTGTCCCTTTATTTTAGTTTAAAAAAAAAAAAAAAAAAAAAAAAAAAAAAAACTACCTTAGCTCTTTATTTTCATTTGTTAAATAATTAGGTGTATTTTTAGTTTAAAGACTATTCTTTGTTTTATACTAATTCTAACTAAGATTCCTAAAAAATTTATGATTCAAGCATTGATCCTGATCCAAAACCCTTTTTTTTAATGATTAAATGAATCAAACAGTTACTGAAATTCTAACTGCAAAAACAATAAAGGGCACTCTCAGTGCCAAAACAACATAACTATCTTTAACTAAAATTCAGATCTTTAAGAAGATTCGATGACCTCTGCATTACAAAAATTCTTACATCCCAAATATGTCCATATTAACTAACTAAAAACCTGGCTAAAGCTGATGTCGTGTCTATGCCTTCCGGTTACACAGCCATACAAACTGTAGGCCAGCCCAAAAAGGGGGGTGGCCAGCCATATATACTCAGACCAACTAGAAGTTCACTAAATTTTGCACAAGGGTAAAATGGGGAAATATATAATACCCAAAAATTCAAATCCAAATATACAAAAAACTTCACTTGATAACATTTACAGATTTCCACATTTTAAAACATTAGCCATTTAGTCAAAACTAGGAGTTGATAAACTGAGGCACCCCCTGAAAAAAAGATCATTACTCTCTAGGTGACTTCAATAAAAAATCTCCTGAAACCCCAGGCCCAACGTTACTAAAATTCAAAAACAAAGGTAATGTATGTTGCTACCAACAGTAACAAAACCTACAAGAGTTACAGAGATAGTGTTTCCCCTACTTGACCCTTTGAAACCCCTTATCCCCTTTAAAATCAGGCATAATTAAGAAAATCCACAGACACTCCCCTACTTTTTCATAAAAACTCTTGGTAAATTACCCAAGACATACAAAAGTCCTTAGATTTCACAATGGGCAGCCAAAAATAACTTAAAAACAGCAGTAGAAACATTGACTGGCACATGAGCTAAAAAAATCTATCGTATTGACGAATGATTAAATTTTCTAAAAAAGACCCAATCCTTTTAAAACGCATGCCCTAAAAAAACTAAAACAGATGCAGCAAAGAGACGAACAGTCCCTGGTTAACACCCGATTTCAAACCCATAAATACAAAACACCAATATGAAAAACATACAGAATGGGTCCATAAACCAGGACCAAAAAAAACGTTACTCGTCAATTAACACCCGATAAGAAGGCAAAAAAATTGTTTATAGAAAACAGATTATTCAACTTACGAGGTGATATAAAAAAGCCCTGGAAAACCCATCAGAATTCTAGGAACAAAAAGATATACAAATAGGAAATAAAATTGAAAACGATGAACCCCCCTCCCCCCAACAGAAACAGCAAAAGCTCAAAAGACTTTTCCACTATAGGACAAAACCTTGCCAATAAAAACACAAGCTCGATACCCCAAAATGATCCCCACTGGCAACTACCCGAACACACTGTTCTAGCTCCGACTAACCCATTCGAAATTCCCTTATTTTCAAAACCCCTAAAAAAAAAAGGCGGAGATTTAAATCCCTTTCCACCCTTTATATACAAAAAAGTGTCCAAGTGCTATCCCAATCATTGCAAAACTCTTTAAAAATCCCTTGAATCCTCCACCCTTTCCCCACAGTACTCAAAAAAGCAAGGGTACCCCCATCCCCAAAGGGGGAGACCAAAAAAGGTTGAATAACTATAGGCCCCAAAATCCAACTTACACCCCCCTCTCAAAAATCTTCGAAAAAAAATTCTAAACGAATCTACTCCTACCCTTTCTCCCAAAAATACTCAACCCCCGCCCAATTTGGTTTGGCCAAAAAAAAATACTAAAGTGTATTTTACACATGCTTGAAAAATATTAATGCAAAAGAGAAAAAAAGAAGTCCCATGGGGATCTTCATTGACTTTCGTAAAGCTTTTGATACGTTAACCTGACTTGCCCACGTAAAAATTGTCACACTATGGGTTAAAAGGGCACCCCTAATACCTCAAGTCATACCCCAGCAACAGAAGCCCAAAATGTGTATGAAAAAGGGGCAAAAATCTTTTTACAACCCCAAATTTCAGTTGGTGTCCCCCAGGGAAGTGTCCTTGGCCCTCTTCTCTTTTTCCCATAATAAATGACCCACCAAATGCTTCGCAAATTTCCAAAAAACCCCCACTATTTGCGATGAATCATACGTCTTTCCCACCCCAGCCCAGTCACGCTGCCAATACTGTAAATACCCAAAACAGAAAATATCTACTGGATGAGGGGCTAACAAACTTTCATAAAAATTGACAAAACCCACTTTATTCGTTTTGGGAACAGAGTACAGTGT